GAGGGAGGGGGCCGGGTTTCTGGGGCTCCCGGAGCTCGGGGTGCCTTTCCCAGACGGGGTCCCTGCGCGGGGAGCGGCCCAGGGCTGCCCCTCTGGAGGCCTCAGATGCCCCTCCGCCTGGGAAGGCTGGGACGGCGAGTGCCGGGACGGTCCCCAAGGTGTGTGCCTGGGGCGATCTTGGCGTGGGGCCCCTCCAGCCCAGATCTGAGAATCCCCGGAAGAGGCTGGGCAGCTCCCGGATTCCTGCTCCTAATAATGGGAAAGCTGTCCTCGGGCGCCTCCTCCCTCCTCCCGGGCGGGTGACCCGCGGTCTTTCTCGGGGCACCTCTCAAGTGCCCAGATCTCGGCGCTCGCTCTCCTCGTGTCCTCTCAGCCACCCTTCAGGACAGGCTCAGATTCTCACTTTTTAAATAAAACCAGGCCCAAAGAGGTGGGGTGACTGCTCAGGGTCACTCGTCGGGAAAGAGGTGGGGCGCAGCCAACGCAGCTCCATGCTCTTCCCGGGGGTGGGGGAGGCGGAGGAGGAGGAGGAGGGGGGAATCCTTCGCCAGCTGCAGGGCCGTGGAGCGGGGTGGGGAGCATCTCCCCACTTCAGCAAAGTTCCCTCTGGACCCGACATGGCCTGCTTTATCAAGGTATTAAAGAACAAAGCTCGGAGGTGGTTTGGAGGGGAATTAGGAGTAGGAAGGGGAGGCGGGGCGGCCCCCCATCAGTGAGCTCTTGCCCGCCCCCGGGCCCAAGCCTGCAGCCGCCCGGTGGCTGGCTGGTCTCAGCCTCCTTCCTTCCTCTTGACAGGAAATGGCTTTCCTTCCCTTTGTTCCCACTTTCTCTGCCTTCCCAGCTGACGCTCTGATTCGCCCTTTGCGGGGAAGCAGGGTGACCTGGGTGCAGGACACCAGGGGCAGGCCCAGGCCCCCTTTCTCGGATGGGACTTGACAGCTCTTTTAAAGTCCTCAGCTCAGCTCCTTCCCGTGGGACCTGAAGTCCCTGCAGGGGACCTTTGGGAGGGTTGGGGGGTGCACAGCTGTGAACATCTGGCCTCAGCCCTGGACGTTTTCCCAGAAAGCCAGGAGATCTGATTTCCCGGAGGAATGGAGGAGGGGTCAGAGCTGCGGAGGGGGGTGGAGGCTGTGTCCTGAAGGTCCCAAGCAGTCTCTGGGGACCAGCCTAGAGTGTGCTGACCACAAGCTACCCAGTCTGGATAGGGCCATCTGGGTTGAGAACAGGCCTGTGAATTTGGGCCAGCGGCCACCTCAGGTCCTAGGACACCCCTGGACTTCCAGGCTGGACCCTGCTGTGTTAGAATTCCTGCCTGCTCTGGCCCCCCTGTGACATTCACTTGAACTACTGGGGCTTCATGGGGCCCATCTGAGAATTGAGGGCATAATGGACCTTTCTTCCGACTGCCTTGAGAACCAGGTGAGTCTGAGTCACGTAGCACGCTTAGCACAGTGGTTGGCACTCAGTAGGTGCCATGTTTATTCTTTAAATTTCAGAGGCACTCTGAAAACCAAGTAGAAAACTAGATTTTTTTTTTTCAGTACTGCAGATTGAATCTAGGGACATTCTACCACTGAGCTACACCCCTAGAAGTTTTTATTTTTATTTATTTATTTTTAGTTGTTAACGCACCTTTTTAATTTATGTATTTATATGTGGTGCTGAGAATCGAACCCAGTGCCTCACACATGCTCAGCAAGCGATCTCTACTGAGCTACAACCCCAACCTCATTTTTATTTTATTTTTTAATTAATTAATTTTATAGTAGAATGCCTTTTGACATATAAATGGAGCACAACTTCTCATTCCTCTGGCTGTACATGGTTCAGAGTCACTCCACCAGGATAAAGAAAAATTTACTTTTATTTTCAAACAGGGTCTCACTATGTTGCTGAGACTGACCTCCAACTTATGGTCCTCCTGCTTCAGCCTCCTGAGTCACTGGGATTGCAGGTTGTGCTGTAGTCCTGGGTAAAAAGAGATTCTTAAATTCATAACAAAGCATAAAACCAAAGACTAAGGCAGCCTCTATAAGCATACATACTTCCAAAATCACCTCCAAAACAAGAAGCAAAAGGGAGGCACTTTTAAATAACTTTTAAAGTTCTTTCCTATTATATGGATTGCTTATTCAGGGCAGATTATTATTTTATTTTATTTTATTTTTATTTTTATTTTTTTTAGAGTGAGAGAGGACAGAGAGAGATAGAGAGAATTTTTAATATTTATTTTTTAGTTCTCGGTGGACACAACATCTTTGTTGGTATGTGGTGCTGAGGATCGAACCCGGGCCGAACGCATGCCAGGCGAGCGCGCTACCGCTTGAGCCGCATCCCCAGCCCCAGATTATTATTTTATATATTTATTTTGGTAACCAGTATTGAACCCAGGGGCACTTAACCACTGAGCCACATCCCCAGCCCTTTTTATTTTTTTATTTTGAGACAGGGTCTTGCTAAGTTGCTTAGAGCCTCAGCAACTGGCTTTGAACTTGTGGTCCTCCTGCCTCAGCCTCCCGACTTGCTGGGATTACAGGCGCGCACCACCACACCTGACTGCAAACAGATATTTCCTTATCAGACAAAGCATCTTTATTTTTAGCCAAACATAAACCAGGAACTTGGGGGCAGATGCTGCCCTTGTTATTCTCCGTCAGCCACAGAGAGAGCCCATGGTGCACTTGATACAGAGGAGGGCTGTGAGGGGCCACTGAGTCTCCAGTCCACCATCAGCGTCCCTCAGGCTCTGCCCCTCCTGCCTGCGGAGCCCACTTCTCAGGGTTCCCGTTCTGTTTACTCTCCCCCCATGTACCAAGGCTGGACTTCAGGGTCATCCAAGGTGGCCCAGACAGAACTAGAGAGATAAAGGGGACATTTTTAGCCCTGGCAGCACTGCTGGGTGAGGGTCATCAACTCTCCCCACTGTGGCCCCACCTCTGCCTGGGCGCCAGAGGCTGCTGTCTGCAGGACCGCCCTGGGCGACAGAGGACGCCTTCCCCTGAGGCCGGGTGCTGTCCCCTCCCAGGTCTGTGCTGTAGACCAGCTGTGCTCAGGCACCCTGCAGGCAGCAGAAGGCAGGTGGCGACTCATGGGGGTCAGACACATTGATGGGGAGCTGGCAGTGTGTCCTGTGGGGCACCATCACGGTCCTGAGAAAGCAGCCAGCTGCCCCGGCTGAGGCTGGACTCTAGGGAGCCTCGTGGAGGACACGTGCCGGAGCTGGCCTCTAAGGGAAAGCAGAAATCCACCCCGGGATGGGGGCGGTGCCGGAGAGGAAAAGCCAATGGTGAACCCTCCAAGGCAGGTGGGAGAGAAAGACCTAGAGAGGTGGGTTCAAACCAGATGAAGGATCAGGTGAGGAGGTGGGACCGGAGGCCACCCAGCTGTTTCCCCCCACACTGCTGGGGCCTGTACAGAGGCCATGGTTTTGGAGATGGGGCAGGAAGAGATTTGGGCGATAGAAGGCAGGGAGGAAAGGACACTGGCTTGTGGGTGGAGCAGAACAGAGTGGCCAAGTGATGGGCTTGAGGTTCAAATGCTGTCTCTACTGCTGTGTGACCCTGGATGAGCGACTTGACTTCTCTGAATTTCTTCACTTGTGAGATGGGGTAATAATGGTGCCTACCTCTCTGAGGATTTCTGAATTCATAAGCATCAAGTGCTCAGGGCAACGTGAGCACAGAGCAGGTTTTGGTTAAAGGTGTCTTTGATTTGTCCTTCTGCCCCCTCTGTCTCTGGGATCCCCGCGCTGCTGTCTGAACTTCTGTTCCTGTTCTCTGTCCCCACAGGGCAGCTGGCCTGACAGCCTCTGAGGAATTAGACTCTCCCAGGAGAACTGGGGTCCAGGTGGGTGAGGGAGGTGACTTGGGGTGTGGCCCTATGGGCAGGTGCCGCAGCCACTGTGGAGCTCCCGGGGCTGCCCTTTGCTCCCCAGGTGTGCAGGCTTTGGGGGAGGGGCAGTCCAGGCTTTGTGTCCCACCCTGTGGCCAAGTCACCTGGTGGACTCCCGCCCTGCCCCCTCTGTGGCTGGACTGGGTGGGTCACCAGCATGGCGGGCGATGGCCCCTTGTGTTGGGAGGGGAGACTCCGTGCCCCTGACTTCTCTTTGACGTGTGTGTGTCCCGCCAGAGCCTGAGCCGCCCTCTGTCCCCAGCGCCAGCGGGAGCTGAAGCAATGGCCTCCCAGCCGGAGAAGAGGGTGGCCTCGTCCGTGTTCATCACCCTGGCGCCCCCGCGCCGCGACGTGGCTGTGGCTGAGGGAGTGAGGCAGGCGGCCTGTGAGGCCCGGCGTGGCCGCCGCTGGGAGTCCCCCGCCTCCGTGAAGCCCGCGGGGGCTGGCTCCGTGGGGAAGCCCAGCCCCTGGGTGCCCTCCGGCAGGGCTGCAGCCCCTGTGCCAACTGTACCACCTCAGCTCTCCAACGGAGGTAAGAGGGTGACTTCAGGGGGACCAGGGCGGAGGCAGCACCAGGTGGGGAGGAAGGAGAGGCTCTGAGTCACTCACTGAGTGACCACCACGTGCAGGCAGAGTCTGGAACCCGTCTGTCTGGGACGAATCCTGGCGCCATTTCTCAACCGTGTGATGTTGACAAGCTGCTTCACCCCTCTGTGCCTCCGGTTCTAGTCTGTAAAAAAGGACACTTTGGCGCACGCCTGTCATCCCAGCAGCTCAGGAGGCCGAGGCAGGAGGATCGGGAGTCCAAAGCTAGCCTCAGCAACAGCAAGGCGCTAAGCAACTCAGTGAGGCCCTGTCTCCAAATAAGATACAAAATAGGGCTGGGGGTGGGGCTGAATGGTTAAGCACCCCTGGGTTCAATGCCTGGTACCAAAAAAAAAAGAGAGAAAAGTGACAGGAAGCCTGTAGTCCTCTGTCCCTGTCACTCTCCTGGAAATTGTCAGCTGTTGGGTTGATAGAAGTGAGGAAGGTGTCACTACAGGGCACTGCAGAGGAGGCCAGCCTAAGATGGCAGCCCAGGCCCTGAAGCCCCCAGGTGCCTGGTCAGGTGTCCTGCTGCCCGAGAACAACACTGGGACAGCCCTTCACCCATCACCATGGAAACCAGGGGGCAAGACCGATAGCAAGTTCCAGTTCCAGTGGTCATAAGTGCCACACACGGGCTCAGGGACAGTGTGCAGGGATGTTCGTGTGACACGCTCCCTGTGTGCCTCTTGACCACACATCCCACGGGCACAGCCTGTTCCCTCTAGAGACTAGGACCACACTGACCCGACTTCACGGTCAGGATCCGCGATCCAGTGGGGAAAAATCCCGCAGCCCCTCTGAGTGGGTGAGGCGCTCAGGAATACAGTTGAGGTGCCGGACGGCCCTGGCCACAGTCGGGGGGTTGTTGGAGTTACGGGCAGGAGACCCCGGGAGTGTGCGAGAAAAGCAGACTGTTGGGAGGGGGTGGCCTAATGGTCACCTGTCAGTGTGGCTGGTGGCCATTTGCCAACTTGGGACCCTCAAGCAGAGCATGGGGAATCTTGAAGGAAAATTCCAGATTCGCAACTCAGTCCTGAGTCTGGGGTGCCCACACACCTCGGGGTGCTGGGGACAAGGCCATCTCTGCAGTAGACTGCCATCTGCTGCTTCCTGCTGCCCTCTCACCCGCACGCCCATCATCTACTAGATGCACGTTCCCCAGACACACTGCCTGGTTCTCACACCTGAGGTGCTTTTCCCCCTCTTGCCTTCTCTTAAAACCTGCTCTCCCTCCTCCTTGGCCCCTGGACAGGCTCACCTTCCTAGCCACCTGGGGCCCCGCGTTCCTGTCCCCCTCCCTCAGCTGGAGTCCTGGAAACCCGAGGCAGAGCCTGGGAGAGGCCACCACCGCTCTTTGCTGCCTCGGGAGCTCTGAGTCCTGACTCATGAGCTCATCCAGAGCCCGATTCCCACACTCCATCATCCCTGTCACCCGGGGCTTGTTCCAACACAGCTGGGCCCGCCCAGGGTGCTTCTGACCCAGCTGGGCTGCCTGGGGACGGATTTGCATTTCTTGTACCTTCCTGGGTCAAGCTGGTGCTCTGGTCTGGGGACCACACTTGGTGAACTTTGACACGGGGGTCTTATTGTGTTGCCCAGGTTGGTCTCAAACCCCTGAGCTCAACCCGGTACCTGAGCCACATCCCCAGCCCTTTTTATGTTTTATTTTGAGGCAGGGTCTTCCTGAGTTGCTCAGGGCCTTGCTAAGTTACCGAGGCTGGCTTTGAACTCACAGTCCTCCTTCCTCAGCCTCCAGAGTCTCTGGGATTATAGGTGTGCACTGCAAGGCCCGGCACAACATTAAAAAAAAAAAAAATGGAACAATAATTGTACATATTCATGGGATTCGGTGTCACACGTGAACTAACCTACAGTGTGGTCAGGACAATGTCTCATCCATACCCTCACTCATATACCGTCTCTTTGTGCTGGAAATGTTCAGAACCCTCTCTGCTAGCTATTTGGGGATGTAGGCTCCTTGTCAACCGTAGTCCCCTGTGCCTTAGAGTATTACAAGTGTTTCTCCTGTCCCACCCCCGAGAACTCCTTGACCCTGGGTGTCCCACGTTTGGATGAATGGATGTGGGACTGTTGATCCGGTCCCAAGAGGTCAAGGAGGTGTGACTCTGGGCTAGAACAGTGGTTCTCCATGTGTGGCCCTGGCACCTGCCCTGTCTCCACCAGGGAACTTACCAGAAATGCAAATTCCTGCAGCTGCCCCAACCCTGCTGAGTCAGGAACAGGGTGGGGAAGCGTCTGTGTTTGGACAAGCCCCCAGGTGCTCCCAATGCACGCCCAGGTGTGCAGCACGCCCTTCCCCCCCTCCGCACAGTGCAGGAAGCCATGTTAATCTCTTTATCCAAAGACCGGGAATTGTCCAGGGAATTGGCTAGGAACTGAGCGAGGCCTGGGTCTTCAGGCTCCTGGGCTTCTGGAATTTTCCATCGGCTTTCCATGGGCATCTCG